GAGTAACATTTGCAAGAGAACAAATGCAGATCAATTTTCCTTAGCTTTTTCTCAACCTGAAGTGCTGAGACAAGCAAAATATGTTTCCATTACTTAACTAAGCAAACAATGGCTTATAAATCATAGAGGCAGCTGGACCAAGGTGTCGTTTTCATAAAGAGCCAGATTTCTCATGAAGGACAGTTTAATGGGCTGCTGCCAGTGAAATGTCTGCAGAGCTGGTAATTGCAGGAGGGCACACAAAAAGTGGTGCTACAAAGGTGTCGTGTGGGATCTGAGAAATACCCCCACAGCCAAGACAACTGGAAAAAGGAGACTGAAAAAGGTGTGTGCTTTAATAATTTACTTCTTGAGGCTGATTGTTTTAAATAAAAATCCAAGTTTTTATTTTTAGCTTGTTCACATTGGCTACAAGATCAGAGAAGTGTTTTTAGCTGTAATATTATTTTGATCATGTTTATGCTGTGGCTTTATTTCTCTTTGATCATGCTTATACATGTTTCAGTCATGTTTGTTTGATGTATGCTGTTTTTTAAAGCACTCGTCCACGTTGTCTGCTTGTGTTTTTTTGAAGCAATGAATCATTTAAAAATATTGCTGTCAAATTATTTCTTAATTTCATTTTCCCAAAACATGTTTTCTGGACTTTTAGCCAATGGGAGACTGCTTTTAAACAAGACAGTATTGAACTGTTCTAACAGCTTTTCTGAGCGCTTCATGGACTGCAGACAATTTTAGGATCACAGAATACCTAGTAATTCATAGACAGGAATTTGAAGTCATCCATCTATCCAAAATAGCTGCAGTGTGCACTGACTTTTACAATTGTCACCCGTGGATTTTGATCAAAGTCCCACTTTTCATTCAGTAAAACTTGCCTGAAGTTCATTCTGGCACTTCTTTTATGGCTGTGTTGAATGTATGAAATAGGTCAGCTCTGACTGAATTATTTTGAACTTCCCATGGGGACCCCTTGATACTGAACCTGTTTAATTTTGCAGAGTAAGGCAGGGCAGTCTCAATACTTGAATATACACATTCATGGATGACTTTCTTTCTTCTGCTGCATGGGTAAGCAATTAGGAGAGTCAAGGAGAAGTCCCTCTTCTGTGGACAACATCTCCCTTCCCTTACTCAAAGAAAAGCAATAAAAAAGTGCTACATAGTCCATGGAGAGATCTATGTTGCGTGACTGCCGGCCATCTGGCTGATTGATTCATCATGACCCTAAACAGATAGTTGTAAGCATGGTCTGAAGCCCTGGAGTTAAATGCAAGTGTGCATCAAGCCTCAGGCAAGTCAAACAGTTCCTCTGCTAATGAAACAATAAAGAACACACTACAGATCACTAGTTCACACCACCCACTTCTTAGCTTCATAATGCACAAAATTATCAACCTCATTTCTCTCCCTCTTTCCACACATACCTTCACGATGTTACTTTTGTGATAATTTTAATTCTGAACATAAATGAATCTTTCTATATGCAAAAGAACACATGCAGGCTGTTGTTCCTTTATTTGCTTCATTGCATAGACATGGATCTGTTATATAGAAGAGGAGGGGGAAAAAAACAAATTCCAGAAGGTAACAAGAGTGAAGGCCTTATAACCTGAAGAACCACTCTTTTATTGACTAAAACATATTGATTTAACCAGATAATGAAACAGCCTGAGGTTCACTCAGTAAGAAATACCAGTGTTACTCAAAAAAATCATGGTGTACAATGAAAGTATTCTAATATGAGGTTCTGTGACCATGTTATTTTCAGGGATGTAGTTACAATTATTAATCACTAGTTGAAAATCTGAATTCACCCCAGATGAGCACTGCTAAGAACAGTATACAGAGCATATTCACATGCACTCTAGTTATGACATTAGTTGCATTTGCCTTCCTCACCCCCCCTCCTCTCTGCTACCACTTCAGTAGAATTATTTGAAAACCATATTTTGGATTTCTTAAACTATTTCTTTGTCATTCTTGTATCAATCCTGCTTGAATACTAGACTCGTTTACTGTTTCTGTGTTCACTTCTAAAATTGTTGAGAGGGAAGGAAAAGAATAATAACATGCTAAATGACAAGCTTATATAACCCATACTATATTAACAATATTGTTGACTCAAATGAGACTCTTTTCAGTATCTTCACAGGCCAATGTAAAGTTATATTTTTGATGCCTGATAATATAGTGATTTATTTTAGAATGTGGCATCTTGTGGTTTACAAAACCCATTGTGCTAGAAACAAATCATTCAACCATTTGAGAATGTATGTAGGTTTTGGTTGAATGATTGTTTTTACCCTTTCCATTAAGACTTTAAGATTGGAAAAACTGTATGCAGACAACACATTCTACAGTTCCAGTAGCCCAGAACAGTGTCTACTAATGGATATCCTCTTAGTCTGATGTATCCTTCCACAGGCTATGATGTAGAAATTTTCAAGATATAGCCTTGTGTTTCTTGTGATACAAGTTGCATTCACAATTGTAGATCATAAATAAAATAATATATATTTATTATGGTACCTCATAGTCTAGCTATTCTTTATCTTGGGCTTCATGTTAGTGTAACTTGAAGGGTATTAAATGCATGCTAGAAAGAAAGGAACAAATTTAGTAGCTTAAATTACTGGAGTTTGGGGTGGAGAGCTTAAGTTGCTTACAGATTTTTGATGCTTTTCAATGTTTAAAAAGATTTATTTTTACAGACAATAGATAATAGACACAGTTCCACAGAGATCTGTTCTGTGGCCTGTGTTGTTTAACGTGTTCATAAATAACCTGAAAAAGAGGCTGAGCGGCAGGATGAGAAAATTTTTCACACGATACTAAATTATTCAGCATAGTGAGACAAAGGAATACTGTGAAGAATTACAAAAGGATCTTATGCAACTGGGTAGCTAAGCAATCAAATGACAAATTAAATTATTCTTGATGAATGATGTAGTGATAAACCATGAGGAAAACGTGCCTATCTTCTCATATAAAACAGTGGGCTGTGGATTGAGCATCACCACTGAAGAGTGAGGTTCTGCAGTCGTGGCATATAAAGTACCATGAAAATTTAAGATTACTACTTAGGAACTGACAAATCCATATTAAATGTTAGGGACCAATTGAAAAAGAACAGAGTTCGACAAAGAGCATTGCTATAGCTCTTGTTTAAGGGCACAGTTCATCCACATCTAGAACACTGTGGGTATTTCTAATAGAGGAATTAAGAGGCACCAAATGAAGTTAGTAAGATCAATGTTCAAAATAGAAAATCAGAAGTAAGTTTTAATTTCCTAGATTGTCTACATGTGGAACAAATTCCAAAAGGACACTATGAATGCTAGAAATTTGCATGGGTTCAAGAAAAATCTAGAGAGAGAACTGGATGAAAAAAACCCAAACAGTGGGGAGTTACTAACCACATAAAAAGTAACCAAGCTAAGGGAATCAGCTACACTAAAAATAGTTGGAGGAAGGGTGATTATTCTGGGACAGTGTTATTTAGACTTATCTTTTTTTTTTTTTTTTTTTTGTTCCAGATACTTAGTTCTGGACAGTGTTGGAGTCTGTATATTCATCTAAGTAAACCTTGGTCTAAGCCAGTAAGGTCATTCACATGTACTGTGTGTATATAGATCTAACTACACTCACACACAGAGTAGATGTGTCTATATATATACAGATATTTATATATCTATATCTATCTATGCACACAGATTACATGAGAATATATGTACACATACATACAAAAAATTATGCAATATGAACTCATCATAGAAGCATCTAAACATGTGCATGCTTATATATAAATACATCATAATATGTTACTTTAAAACACTGCCATCCTTAATGAGGCAGGGGGTTTCACTGGGCAGCTAGTGCAAATTGGCAAACCAAAGTATATTTCATTATTTCCATGACAATATAGCAGTAAAAATACACTGAAAAGATGTTAATGCATGGCACTAAAATAGCTTATAATTTCACATAGGAACAGGACTCTGAGTGGTTAAATATAGTTCTCAGTTAATTATCCCAGCAGGATGTAAAATGGTTCTGAAACAGATTGGTAAATCTGTTGGATATGCCTTCTTTTTCCAAATATAGTGAAAGATACCAACTGAAGTATTTCTGTAAAATACAGAGATAAGCCAGATTCACCACTGGTTTGAATGTTCTGTTACGAATTCTATTACATTTGCTCTCAAAACTTCTTTCCACCATTTTTTTCTCTAATGAATATGTCTGCATTTAATGTATTTTCTTTTTTTGATGTAACTTCTTTATTGTCATATAATATTGTCACTCTACCGTGAAGAAAAGCTTTCTATGAAAAAGAAAAGGCTTTTGAAAAAAATGACAAGTATCTCAACAATTTGAATAGAAATTCACAAATGCATTTCTCTCCTGAAAATGAGAAAAATATTGGGGTTTGGGGTATGATAGCATGAAATTAGACAATATCAATAGAAACTGTATTTTTAACTTTTTTTTTTTCTGTACAGTAATGCATTAATTTTTTTTTTAAAGTAAAATAGTGTTTTTATATATTCTTCATTATTGCTAAAGTTAGGAATATTACATTTGTCTCAATAATTTTCTCATTTTATGTGTGACAAATACAGAAAGTTTATTGACCAAAGTGAAAATATCCAAAGGAAGAAGAAAAATATCAGCAATAAATACATGGATTAGGATGCCATGCTGTTATGTATACAGCCACTTGCAAAAAGATTTTATGAATATTTAATTGCTCCAATAATGAAGTTAAGATCCGTTCATGAAATATCTGTAGCAAACACCTCTATGTACTAAAGAGAAATGTAAATACCTGTCACTTTCTAGTGGATGATGATGTACTTAACAGTTATATTTGCCATTTGGTGAAAAGATTGATGTTGGGGAAACAAAATCACAATTCATTTATATAAGGAAGAGAAGTGATTCAATTAAGGCAATTCAATCCATCAATAACATGCACACTGGCATTGTTTTCTCAGATCCTAGATTTGTTGGTGCTCACCTGATACCAGAGAGTGACAATCCAGAAGATGACAAAATCTATTTCTTCTTCCGTGAAAATGCGATTGATGGAGAGCACACTGGAAAAGCCACTCATGCCAGAATAGGGCAGATCTGCAAGGTAAAATGATGACTTCTTCATGTGAGGTTGAATACACCTGCAAGACTCTTTGTGTGTGGTTTTAGAAACTGCATTTTCTTGTCTGTAAGCTATTCAGTATTAACACTGTCATTGTACTAAAGCAGAGATCATCCTAAGAGAAAAATAGTTAGGGGATACCATACCCAGTGTGTACTATTCAGTTCTTCTCTGTTGAGGGAAGCTTCACAAGCTACAATATTTTGTTTAAAAAGTCACAGGCATCTTCTGAAGTTCAGAATGTGTCTGCAAAAGAGCGAATCTTTTACAGGAAATGTGATACTTCCAGGTAGGTGAAAAGAATTTGAAGAATTTACTTTTTAAAGGAATGTTAATGCCTTTCCATTCCCACATTAGTGAAAGTCTTTAAAGCAGAGGCAGAGAAAGATTTAACAAACCAGTTGTTTAAGCTTAGCTGTAAAAATGGGCAACCATTTAGAAGACCCTTAATGTCTGCAGACTGAATCATACATCCACACTGACAAGTGTCAAAATATTTTTCTGACAGACTTCTAAAAAGATTCCTCCAAATGAAATTATGTTAATAAATGTTGTCGCTTTGGCAACTATGATGTTTAGAGTAAATTTTCTTGTTAATCCATAAGAACAATTTGGGTTTATCTCCTCAAATCCAGAGGCAGTTGTCTGAAAACAAATTACCCCATAAATATGGAGGGTTTGTGTACTTTATTCATAAATTTTGCAGCTATACAATGGATCCCACTGTTCTGGCATTTTTATCTATGTTCGCTTGGAACTTTCATTTCTACTTTGTTGCTACCCAGTCAAGAATAATACACCCCTTCAGCTTTACGAGGACATGGCAGTTTGGGAGCTCTGGAGAAAAACATTATGCCTGTCAGTCATTCTGCAGTGTTACAGATGTATTATAGTATATAAAGAGGTTTGGAGTTTTTTGGTTTTGTTTTTTTAAATGATATGCTACTATGAAATATGTTGCAATACAATGTAAAATAAAAACAACTTGGTGTCCTTGACAACATAATGCTTTCATATGTGGAAAGCAAATTCTTTGTTTTCTCTAAGTAGTATCTTGTGGTTTATTTACTGTATTTTCTCTGTACTCTGTTGATACTTCAAACAATGATTGTTACTAGATATTCATGCTAAATACTTTTGTTATTAGAATGACTTTGGTGGACACAGGAGCCTTGTTAACAAATGGACAACTTTCCTCAAAGCACGTCTGATTTGTTCTGTGCCAGGACCCAGTGGCATTGACACACACTTTGATGAACTACGTAAGTGGCAGAAATGGCTTTGAATACTGAAATGTTTTTAGGTATTATCCACATGTATTTAACTTAGTTTTCTGTCTTTTGTTATTGTTACAGAGGATGTGTTCCTAATGAACTCAAAAGACCCTAAAAATCCAATAGTCTATGGAGTGTTTACAACTTCCAGGTATAGAAAGTATCGTTTTACTTGCATGGAAACTTGGGTGGCTGCTTTTTTTAAAGAGGTGTCTGTTACAAATGTTTTTAAGAAACACAAAATTTTCTTAACCTTTGAACTGAGAAGTCAGTATCAGTAAGAAGTAATGAATTAGGTTTCTCTTCTTATGAGCAATGTACATCATCGCTATGAAGATAGTAATCACAAAGACTATCTGTTTCTCAGGCTGTTCGTCCCTTTGAATTGGCTTTTTATAGTGGGGATAAGAACTTGTAGCCCTTTCTGTATAGACCTGGAAAAATAACACAAGCATAAATATGCTTGTTTTGGGACAAGGTAGAATAGAAAATCTGCAGTGTGAGAAACTGACTACTAAAGGAGATGTTAGTAAAAAAAAAAATTCCTGAAATCTGGAAAGTTTAATGACCTTTCAAAAGCTCTGCTGTTGAATCACATATAACTGTGACTTGAATGTTTTGATTTCATTGTTCTTTCACTAAGAACAAAATTATACTTGTAGCTTTGGCCTGAGGAATATTTGCAGTACTGGATGCATTGCCACATTTATCTGTGAAGGACAAAAGCTTTAGTTTCTAAACAGAAAGAATGTTTCTATTGATAACCAGGCATAGAAGAGGGAGATTTACAAGTCCTTACTGTCTTCTGTAAGGAATCTCAAGGTAAGAAACAACACTGAAGTCTGTGTGTGTGCTGCCCAAATGGCGGAAGAGACCGCTAAAAAAAATAGAAAAAAGCAAAGTGTAGGAAAGAACTGAATAGTCCTCCAGAGACAGCCCTGTTGAAATTTACTCAGATTGGGGCTTTGGCCTTCAGGGGACAATATGTTTTAAATAGAGGAATAGCAGCCATCTGCTTAGTAAAATGTCTGAGAGATCATATCACTTATGCTGAACTGTCTCAGGAGGTGAGTTAGGATTGCTCGGAGAGCATGTCAGAGTTTTGATAACCAGCACATGCAATAAATTAGAAAGCAGCAAGCTGCTATTCCCATAGCTCTTCCACTCAATTAAACTAACTGATAATTTAAAGAACCTGATCTGATTTCTTCTCTCCTCATCTTTAGTAACATCTTCAAGGGCTCAGCAGTGTGCATGTACAGCATGACTGACGTGAGGAGGGTATTTCTTGGTCCCTACGCCCACCGAGATGGCCCAAACTACCAGTGGGTTCCCTACCAAGGACGAGTGCCATATCCACGGCCAGGAACTGTGAGTACCCTATGAAACACAGTAATCTAAAAAGGGAAAACTATGGAAAATATTTCCATGCTTTACATGATCCAGGAAACAAATTAAGAGATCCAGGAACAAAACTGAAAAAGATAATGAAATGGATAGTGTGGCAGAAGGGAAAGCTAACAATGCCTTCGGATCCAAAATGTGCTGATTTTCTTTTAAAGTATGAAACTGCAATAGCAACTTCATTTGGATTTTAGTTTTGGCTTATTAACATTAACAAATTCGACAGAAGTTTGGGCAATGGCTGAAGAACTTTACTGAAAGTCAAATGCTTAATAAATTATTCTGCATTATCCTTTCCTTGGAATTTGTCTTTGTTCCAAATATTGGCGGAGCCATTCTTAGTGAGAATGAACAGAAAACAGAACATCTGCCTGGCTGTTAAGAAGCTTTCAGTTGTTCTTGACATTATATCTAGTACAGTAATACAGATGCTTCTCCAATGGAAAATAGAGTGACTGTGATAAATTCTAATTTCCACTGGCATTTTTAAAAATCTGTGCTTCTACCTGTTTCTCTTTATAAATGACTAAAATATCAGTGTGTATAAAATGTCTGTATTTACAACTCCCAACTGATTACATTACGTTGTAGAGATACTTAACTGCTTCTGAAATTATCAATAGTCTAAGAAGATAGGACATTATGATAAAAGTATTAACTGTAAACACTGGGGTAGATCCTTAGCTATTATAAATCAGCTAGGCTCATTTAAGTTCTGAAATACCATTGCTGAAGAGTAAATGTATGTGCACACATGCGTATATATATAAACATGCAGATGTAAATAATACACCTGTGTGTAATATTCCTTTAAAAGTCCTTAAATATAAATAAAATTTTTAAAAATAAATAGAAAATATCTTAAATATAAAGCAAAAAATAAAACAATTAACTTTAATTATTTTTTTTTAAATCATCATGTTTTCTACTTTTGTCTGGTATATTTTAAAATTTTTCTTTCAAACCTGATCTTTCAACTGAGCTCCAACAGTTAGACACAATATATGCTTAGTCTAATGAAAATTACTTCCTAAGTAAAAGAAAACAGTGGCTCCCTGACAGCCAGATTCCTCAGCATTCCTCACTCCCTCACTACAACTGCTAAAGGGATTCCTAATTTTTTTCAGAATTAAAATACAAGCTCTGCAGCATAGTAGAGGTTTCATTTCTCATTTGATGCTGTACCTTTTTTTTTTAATTGCTGTAGTTAATGCTGATATGTCAGTGTTGTGTTTTATTTTGCTTTGTTTTGGTTTTTGTTGAAAGTGTATTCTTTAACTTCTGTGTGGAAAATGTGAATAAGTCGGTATTTTGGGTATTTCTTGTATAGCTAATGCTATCTTCTTTTCAGTCTGACGGTCTTAATAAGTTATTGTTCTTTATTCTGTATATCTGTATTCCTCTTTGATTCCAGTATTGATTAACCTTTCTAAACAAAACCAAGTAATAGATATTATGTAAAACTACAGACAAAGAAGAATGTTACATGTTTTTGTCACAAAATTAGACCGAGATAAGAACTGACTGTTGCACAGTGGCTTCTGTTGCATTCATTCCCCATCAAAGATCAGATGCATCTCTGTTGATATTCTGAATGCACAACTCATTTGCCCTAATGACTGGAAACACAGCTCTGCCTTCCTCTGAGCCTGTGGGTTATTCCTAGATTTGTCTGAGGGTCTTGAACTGAAATCCATATGGGAGAAGAATAACTTGATCAGATTCTCAAGAACAAGCAGAAAAGTAGGGACTCTAATCTAGCCTTTGAGTGGCTAAGTGACCTAAGCCACCAGATATTTTGCCAAAGTAGGGAAATACAATTAAATTGTTGTCTTTTTTTTTTTTTTTTTAGCTACTTTCTCAGAATGGATTTTAATTCTTACAATTTCACTATAATATACTAAGATTCACAAAGTGCTAAGACGTTTAGTTGTCATTGTAAACATTTTTCTTGCCTGAGGGCCAATGTGATCCCAAATTATAGAATTCTATGTAGCCCTGGAGTAATACCACGTGGGGCAAGAGGCCATGCACTGTAAATTATGTCCATTAAAGAGTGGCTGAGGCCATCAGTTTCTCCTAGCTTATGGCCATTGACTCTAATCCTGGTGTCTACCACTTTGAAAAATACTTTTTTTTTTTTTTTCCGTCACATTTGCTAAAATAATTTTGATCTATTAGTAAGTTAAAACTGAATTTTAAAAAGAGAGACATTTCTGGCTGAAAAGAAGCTTTTCATTTTGAAAGTGATAAAACTAGGTGCATTTGCTATGGCTTTGAAGACCAGTTGAGAATAGAGAAGAAAGGTTTTTGAAGTTTCTTTATGAAACAAAGTAAAATATATCCTTATTTATTCTTATAGTCCAGTTAAGGTATAGCCTAGTTACCTCCTTGTGAGTGATCAAACCCCCTGACATAGTTTACTGGGGACCAGCAATTGGAAGTAGATGTTAAATGCAAGAGTTCTTGGACTCTGCCTGAATCCAAGATTAAGCTCATTCCTCCAAACTTTTTCAGGATATTTGTATTCATGCCTATCTTTTGGTACCTGTAAACTTTCTACTTCCTTGCTATCAGTGGGATTGATGAAGTATAGAAACATGAATTCTGATGAAGTGCTTTGCCAATTAGTTTGACCTAGACCCGCTAATATGAAAAGCAGCCCTGTCATTAACATCAAGGATAATGTCTTTGTGGTGCAGCCTGGATTTGTAACCATAACACAAGTAAACATGACAGGCCTTTGCTCCTCAGGACATCTTTGCCTTGCCTTGCCTTGCCTTTCAGCTTTGACTTTATGTGAGTTGGGATTCCTCTGCAAGCAGTTTGGACTATGGATGGGTTAAATCTCAACTGCTGATGGTGCCTACTTCACTCCATTTCAAAGGGAGGGAGTTATAACAATGAAAGTTTGATTTCATCTCAGTCAGTTTCCTGAAGTGGGGTGGGATGAATGTGAGCCACAGCCTAGTTCAGGTAATGCAATCTAAGTGTTAAATGTAAAGACACAAAGTTACTGTCATTCTTTTTATGCTCAGAAAAGCAGAGGATCCAAAGAGTAATCTGGCTCTCAGAATGGGGAGTCTCATTTAAGCACGCAGAATTATGACACTAATTCTAGTTTGATGGCTTTTCTGCATAGAATGTATCTTGGTCAACATAGCTGCAACTAAAATCCTATGTTAGAAAATGAGCCAGAAAATAAATATTCAAGCAATTGAAACACAGCTGAAATTCATTTATTTAAAATTAAAATGAATATTCATTTACTGTTTTTTTCAGTGTTTGCCCAGCTGCAATTAACAATATCTAGTTCTTATGTAGTGATTATAAAACTTTACATATATAATCTAATTAATCTGAGTAATTAGTATTGAACTGTAGTTAGAATATTAATTGAGATGCAAAGCAAATTTAAAATTGAAGTGCAGAATTTTAAACATGATTTTTGAGACAGACAGTGGTTCAGCCAACAATTGCAAAAAGCCTATCTGATTTTCTCTTGATAACACTTCTGTACAAGAGAGAAAGAATATATAATAAAAAGGATGAAAAATGTCGAGACAATAAAGGAGATAACTAACTTGCTTTCTTTTTCCTGCTCCCTCCCTTCCTCCTTTCCATACCGTGTAATGTAATAGAATGTGGGAATTTGCTTACTAACAACTATGCCAAAAAGGGACAATTTACACTTTATATGTCCATGCTGGAAGTGTCCCTTTGCTGAATAGATCAGCTACTCCTTTAGACAACATTGATTTTCTAATTTAATTTCTGATGAATTATTAATAATTTGAATCAAGGTGATAGCAAAGACAATTGATTTCTTCTGCTGAGCATCCTGCATGGTCCAGAATCTTGGTTAATAAGATGTTGTCCTCTAGGCTTTTAATTTAATTGGAAGATATTCCATACGTGGATATAAAGGGCAAATTATCTAGGTTGTTTTAACACCAGCTGGTTATATTTCAGGTTCAAATGACAATATAGTTATTGTCAACTGGCTTTCAGAGTGTTCTATGTCTTAAATAGGAACCTGAAGATATTAGGAGTGGGAGACACCAACTTTGCTGTGTCTCTGGACCAGTGATTTAATGCCAATGTGGTTCATTGTCTTTATCCATTACACATTACTAACACATACTATTAATCTTTATTTTAAAGTAATCTTTAATTGTTCATAACATATTTACCAATTCTACAGAAGAGATGAGGGCAAGCAGTGGTGAATAACCAGAGTCCTCAAGTCTCCTCATGGGGATGCGTGGTAATTGAAAGTGGAGGAATAATTTTGTGAATACCAAATACATGGTCTTACCTCTCCTCCGTCTCTAAATTTTCCTCACATTGAGAGAATGTGAGCAGCTAATTCTCTGCTTTTCAAAGGTTAAAGGCAGAACTATCTGGCCCACCCACTGATATATAAGGGGGCAAAGGGACTCTTTGCTGTATTACCTCATGGGGATGAACTTAATACCAGGTGAACCCCAAGTTTTCCACTACTGCACAGAACACAACAGTGAGGAGTTATTTCAGTTCTTTGGCAAGAGCTGTTTCACCTAACTGTTCACAGGGACAGTATGAGAAGCAATGCTCAGAAGAGGATTTCTTTAGAATCAGTGAAAAGAGATACACTTAGGACATGACTCATTCGATTTGATTTAGTGTAACAGGGTCCATGTTATTGGGACTACATGGATGACACAGGCTTGTTGAGACAAGCAGGAGTTTGAAAAGTCAGTAGAGCAGGGAGTTGTCTCAGCATGTAAGGTTTGTTTCCTAGGAGAGGAATTCATTTCCCGTCAACTTCTGAAGACAATACTTTCAAACTAAGGTGGTGACATATTTAATAAATTTTCTGTTGTATTCCTAACTAAATACTGAAATTGCTTGTCTCATTTTGAATGATTTTAGATAATTCAAGTTTTCTTCTTTCTGCCAATTAAAGTTTAATAATAATCTGTAAATTACTAAAAAACCTTTTTCACTGTAGTAACTTTTGCAGCTTTTGCATAGTAGTAAGAAAAATTATGTATGAGGATCATTTACATTCTGTTAACCATATTGTTTTAAATCCAAACTGAATAAAGAAGAAAAAAAGTCAGAGACTTTTAGTAGCACAATTAACTGTCGCTGTCTGTCATGAAACACTTAGATCTCTTGTCATGTTTGAATAGTTGGGATGATTGTAATGAAATGGATTTCTAATATGTTTGTAATTATTGGTAATGAAATGTAAAACATTTTCTTTTTTATTTCCAGTGTCCCAGTAAAACATTTGGAGGCTTTGACTCCACCAAGGACCTTCCCGATGAAGTTATAACATTTGCAAGAAGTCATCCAGCCATGTACAACCCAGTATTCCCCATCAATAATCGTCCAATTATGATCAAAACGGATGTGGATTATCAGTTCACACAGATAGTAGTAGATCGAGTAGATGCAGAAGATGGCCAATATGATGTGATGTTCATTGGCACAGGTGAGAAGTTTTGACTCTACACTGTATGCTCCTTCAGGCATTACGGAGATGTAGATCAGATAAAATCTCACGTTCTGAAAGACAGAACACGGGTTTATGTTCCAATGTTTGTCTGTGAAAACTTGGGGCAAGACTCAAAGCTGCATGTGTGGGGAGGTATTTGTTACCTACATTCACTGTGAGAGGTTCAGGCCATGGCATGCGTAGCTTAATTCTTCAGGAGCATTGCCAACTGGATTAAGATCAAACCACTGTCTTTTCAACTACTGTTATTAGGGAATTTTATTAGAAATATCTTGCCTTCTTAATTATAATTTAGTATTAAAATGCAGGTTTTGAGGTACCTATTTTGAAGTTTGGCATAAGACATATTAACATAAATGAGGCAAGTATCCAGGTATGGAAAATGTCTTGTGTGCCTTTAAAGTATTGCCTTAAGATGCCCAGCTCTTTATCTAGAAAAGTGCATCATTTTACTTAAAATGAAGATATATGACACATGCAAAACATTTTCAGAAGAGCTGGTATTCAAATAGGAATGTGATATCCTTTCCAAAGCATTTGCAGAGCCATATAGCTTGAGTATTTTATAAAAGTGGAAATATGCACTCAGAAAATACATTTTTTTCTAGAGAGATGATGATGAGAAATAAGAGTGGCCAGAAGTTAACTGATCTGCCATTCTCTACATTCAGGGCTTCAGAACTATGCTGACTAGCAGTTGGTGGATCTACTCCTTTGAAGATTTTCTATCAGTTGGCTGATGTTTCAGTTATGTTGAATAAAAGTATTTTAAGCTTCTATTGAACATAATTGCTAGTAATTAGACATTGGCATCATGAAGTCAAAACAAGTCAAACCAAAACCTCACTGTTTCTTTTCAGCTGTAGTAAAAAAAATACCTGTCTGAGTGTCTGTCTTATAACAGTCCAATTTCTGACTTGCTTTGGGTACAGTTCTGGTGCACTAGACCTGGGGTCAGATTTCCAAAGCAATAAATCTCAAGGTCTCTTTCATGGTGGTGCCTGAAATGTATTATGAGTAAACTGAGAGCTGGTGAAGCTTTGTATACCAAACACAGTGCATGCATAGCAATTCAGAACATTTACTGCAGGAAATGCAGCTCTGCAGAAAGCATTCCAGCTCTTTAAAGCTGTGAACTGAGTTATTAGAGTACCAATGCTACAATATGTTCTTGCATAAAACTTTGAAAAGTAGTTTCATACAATTTTATGCAACACCTATTTTCTGTCACACATTAGAGACTTCAATGCCATCCACAATTGGCAGAGTTTTGTGCTTTTCAACAAGTCTTCTATGACCTGATTCAGCTCAAAAAAAATAAAAAAAATAATGGCAATACTCCCCTTGGCTTCAATGTGAGGGAACAAGCCCTTCAGCACCCAGGGTATGATGCTGAACAAACATAAGGAGGTCATTTATATATACATCTTAAGCACAAGAGGTGGCATTTACCTCACCACAGTTTGGCATTCATTTTAAGAAAGACACCTCGGCTTTTGCAACAGAAAGAGATAAGTACTTCCAGAGAGAGATACATTGTACTTTCCTCGAGACTTATTAGAGTAAGATGAATAGTTATGCAGAAGCTCCTGTCATTTTTCAGACAGTACAGGAAAATGTGCATAAACCTGAGCTATAGCTTTTGGATAGTTACCTTTATGTATAGTGGTTCATATCTAAATTAGTCAAGCAAAGTGTCCCTCTGTAAGAGCCTCAGTGGTATCTAGCTCTTGCCTTTGAGTTGGAATTTAGACACTCACTTAATTCCCTAAACCACTAATATTCAGGTGCGTGGTAAGTGCTCTGGATCCAGTCCAACCTTGCTGATAGTCGTGCCCAAGAACTGTAAGAAAAGTATTGAAAGATTATTACTTGCACTTGCCAGAAGAGATTTCTGCACCAAAACCCCAGCATTGTAAGTGCAGAGTGTTATTATTTCTTGAAATATTACTTTTGCCCATAGAAGCTGTTCTTTTTCCAGCAGAAGGTTATACCCTCATGGGACAAAACAGGGCATGCTTGGAGCTAGGGCACAAAAGACACCCCATGCTCACTATCCTTACTGTGGTTTTCAGAATGAGGACAGGGCATCTTCCATGCAGGGGAAGAGGAGAAGGGGCAGAACTGAGGCCCTGGCTGCCTGCTTCCAGAAAGCTACACTGAGCCGGCTGATCAAAGTCACCAGAACCAGATACAGAATCAGCATGTATTGCCTATTCCCCAAGTAAAGAACAGCTTGGGGAGTAGATTAGGGCCTCTAGTCACAGTCCAGTTTCCCACTTGATGATCTGAACCTATGAAAAAGCCAGATTTAAGCTCTCTGGTGTATGAGTGGATTTTTCTGTGCATGCCTGTCCCATCAGATTAGATACATTTCTCTGTATTTTCCCATTGCTGTTGCAGCATTCTACATTATTCCCACATGCTGCTGAAGTTCAGTCTGTTGAAGAATTTTTTTTTTCCTTTTCATTGAATAACTGATGATAATTGAAGACAACATAATTAATAGGCACCCAGTGTGGTCACATTTTCCTTTCCTGTGGGTGAAATCTTTAGCTGAGCAGTTTCTTTCCCACTGTGATTGTACCAGTGTGTTTCACAATGGAAATAATATCATATCGACATGTTGAAATCCTATCAGAAAAAAACAGGATTTAAGATATGCACTTAATGCATATCCTGAGTGTCTGATGTTTGGGATTATTTGGCACAGTCAAGGTACATCTGTCAGTAAAGCAAATTAATAACAGTAATCTTATCTTACTGAGCAGAGCTTATTGATCCTAAAGGAGAAGCCTGATTCCGTTTGTGTGAAATTGTTTGAAATACTACTCTGTAAAACTTGATTGAGCACTCAGATAACACCCCACTTTGGTACCTGTGGCCTGACCAGAGTTGCTGTAGTGATTAACACAGTGTATCTTTGACCTCAGAGGCTTTCTCCAGCATTAGGCGACTGTAATTGTTGCAAGATCCACTTAAAAGTCAGACTTTTTTTCAAAACAACATTATGCGGGGAACTCATGTCTGCTCAGAGCCCACTCAGGCTCCACAGTTTCCCTTGTGCTGTTTTATCAAAAATCCCCCTTTATTTCTAGAATATGGCATTTGATGGATTGTGGCTGAGGAGATAGTCCAACACAGAATACAGTCATAGTACATTACTACACTGTTTTATTTATTAGGTCAGAGTTCTCTTTTTTTACCTGTATAATGTGTTTTCCTCAGAACCACAGTTATCAATTATCGGTATAATTAAGGAAATTAACTCATCCATTAAATTACAAATATAACTAACTTTAAATAATCTGTTGTTCTGAGTTACTCTGTTGTAGAAATGCAGGGTTGTTTTCTTCTTGTTCTAAAGTTCACATTTGTTCTGCATTGTTCTCAATATTTTTTGAATTAAATATATTCAATTAGCAGCAGTAACCATAATGAAAACCACTTCCAGAATAACTTATCTTGTGTATTTTACTAGCTTAGTTTGTACATGTAGCTGCCTAAATAAAAAGAAAGCTTTGCTTTGTTGTTGTTTTAAGAAATAACTGGTTTCAAAAAAGAATCCATAAATATGTCACTAATTAAAGAAAACAGTGATATATATATATATTGGAAAAAAAAAAATTCTGTTTTTAAAAAAATGTGTACTTAGAAAGAAACCAACATCAGCTTAAGGGGGAGCAGCTGGAAAAATGTAAAGCTCAGTTCTACAAGATATACTAGGATTTCTAGAATATTTTAATCCAAATTCATGCAAAGAATTTGAAATACCTCAATTTTCCCATGAAATCAACAGCTTTCGAGTTAGTCACCTTATAAAAACTTTTTCAACCTGTGTAATCTATTAGTTTCAAACTTATATGTCTTTTCAATACAGAAGTGGTGAGTTGTCATCTTTTTAATCAGAAGTAACTAACACACACAAAGATATAAATGCAAAATATGGTTTGATTTTGTGTAATCAAGTGTTAAAAATATTGTTGTTTTGAGAATGTTGACCTTAGTTCTGTTACTTTGAGAATTTTATCAATTTAAAATACCCTGTATTTTCCTAAAATATTACTGTTACCGGATGTTCAACATGAAAATTCCTCAGGGACATACTTGTTATTCCTATAATATATTTACATGGCACTACGTTTGGCTGGTTTAAAAGAAAAGACACATATAGAGTTTTTGCATTTCAGAGAGTCTGCAGTGATATGCATCAACCTGGAAATGATTCTTTTTTGTTGTTGTTGTTCCCTGAAAATTCGATTTGTGGATACAAACAAATAAATAGAAGATGCATAAGCTGTTTAACAGAGGTGGTCTCATGTCCCAACGATATTCACAAAACCAAAGGCTGTAGCTCTGGACTTTCAAGTGTTGACTTTTTTTTGTGTTAAAGCCAATTGCAAAACTCCAAGAATGTGAATGGATATGGTATTAAAGTGCTGGCACACACCTATTTCTAAACAGATGACACAAGTTGTATTGCTTTTTACCCTTCAGCAAAATCCAGTATCGAACACACAGAGAAATATAGATGCCTTAAGGGGCTTATACGTCTTAGGTACTTTGTTTGACATGGGGAAGATCACATGTACTTAAGAGATCTAACAGCTTCATCTAGCAACATTTCTCCAGATGTTTTTATTTCCATACTGAGCTTTCTGACAGAATCTTCACACGTATTTTAAGAGTGACAAACTTCATATTTAAAATGGCCAATAAAACATGCCTGGGTAAATTTAGTGCAGTTCCTTCCTCAATGACATGACTGAAACATCTGTCATTTTATACTGTCACTTAAATACTATTTCAGTTCTTTTCATTCTTTAATATCTATAGTGGCATTTATCATCTTTGTTGCATTTTGATAATTGAAAGACTTCAATGGAACATCCTACTGAAATTCATTGGTTTTCAAGGTTATTTTAAATAGCAGTTTGTACTTTGAACAGCAAGTGCTCAGAGATATGTAGCTTAATAATCTTTTCATGTGAAATAATCACACACTACAAGAAACTGGCTGCTCTGAAACTGACATATGCATCTTAAGCACCTGAAAACTCCTTTTCTTTTCTTTTCTTTTTTTTTTTTTTTTTTTTTTCCTTTTCAAGATATTGGAACGGTTCTTAAAGTGGTTTCAATTCCTAAGGAGACTTGGCATGAATTAGAGGAAGTCTTGCTGGAAGAAATGACGGTCTTTCGGGTAAGTGCAGCTAAATTTCAAGTGTCAGGTTGTAGATTTCTCTATGGACAGCTGCAAACTAAACTTCTTGTAGTCTAGCCAAGGAATAGCCAGGCATAACCCTCTAATTAGCTCGTCATTTAGAGACCCAGACACTAGTCAAAATAAACCTTGAAACTTCCAGTGCTAGCCGGAGGTTAATGATAAAAAAAATGGAATTCTGGGCTCTTGTTTTGTGGTTTAAAGAAGAAAAAAATTGTATCTCTGAATCTTAGTTATTTCATGCTGTAGATAAATATATATCTGTGCAAGTCTGGGAATAATGCCTGTCTGTTTTCTCCCACAGAGATGTGCAGTACATGAATATTACAGATGCATCAACCCAACACTATTCAGACTATCAGCATAATGTAACTAGGAGGATACTTTAGGGAAAAGAGTGATCACAAAACTCGAATCATAGAATCATAGAATGTCTAACAATCTGGGAAACAAAGAAAGTAGTTATATTTTCAAAGGTGACTTTAGGGTCTCATTATCATGATTTGACACAGGACATCATAAACAGCTTCTAATCTTTGGTAGTTGTTTTTGAAAATCAGTGTCTTCCATTTTTCCTAAGTTACTTAAAAACTAAGGCATCCCATAGGCACTCTGGCAAGTCAAGGCTGAGTAAAGCTTTCAAACACTTTTTGGACAGAAACCAGGGATGTCTTGTATTTTGTACACAACAAGGAATCTTTACATTCCCCACGTTATACTTTTTGTCAGTGCTGGTTTACTGCACCATTTCACAGTCTCCAGGCTTTGGGGCATTTGGTAGCTAGCTGAGAGCATGAGGTTAGTCTGACAGAGTGAAGATAATGCTGGTGTGCTTGGAGAGCCCCATCTCACATGTTCCTGCTTCAGGACCAACACGTCCTCATCATACTCAGTTGCCATCCCTTTATCTTTTGTTTCTGAACAGACACAATATATCTAAACAGAGCTTGTATATCTTTTTATTATTATTTTCAATATTATCTCTATTTTTTTTCTTATGGACAATCTTGCATTTACCGGTATCAATCTTGCACAGAAAACACTGCTTTGAGCACAAGATACCACTAAAAAAAGTCTCTGTTTTTGCAATCCATGTAGTTTTGAGGCCAGAAATGTGGGTTGCTTTTTTTTCTTTCTTCCTTTTTATATTTTCCTAACAGAAAAATAAAGTAGAAACTATGAGGAGAAAATGAGACAAGTAATTTGTGGGTCCCAGCTTTTTTTCCTTTTTTTATACACACAAAAGTCATTCCATTAATGCAGGGTAATTTGGCAATTGTTGATAATGTATGAGTCTCTTCCCTAAATCAAGTAGAAGTGCCAAGCTAAAGGAGATCTGAGAAATATAAAAAGAAAGAAAGAAAATAAATGGAGTGGAAGTTTTATTTCAGAAAGGCTTTACAGAAGTAGAGTGGTTAATGGCAAATTAAAATCTGGTATTTTACTTTACATGTGTCTTTATTCATTACACAAAAGGATTTTCATGTTCTGATTTACTTGAAAGCTCATTTATCTCCTTTGGCATGTATTTAAGCCTTAAGGAGGGCATTAACATAGTTCAGTGGAATAAACAGAATTTGTATGCATAAGATATGAATCTTTAAATAGGGAATTTGCAACAGATTTTACATATACCTTAACCAAATGTAAGTTTCCTAGCAATACTAAAGAGTCTACATACATCATAAAGAATGCATTTTGATGCTTAAACTGCAATGGCCCAATTATAATGCTTTTCATTTATAATTACACGAAACAGAAAGTCTTCTGTATCTGTTACATTGATAACAAATGCCTCTTTTAACCCCATTTGTGCAATCTTTCTCTGAACAGCTGAGCAAACAAACTAATGAGTTCAATGTTCATTCAAATGTTACACTTAACTGATACTTTCTAATATAAGGTCTGTTAACCCTTTTGTAAAGGCAAGTCCATATGCTTAACATCCGCTGACTCATATCAAATTCTCCCAGGATAAATGAGTGTAGAAGCTTATTAAGGAATTTATTAATTTACATAATCAAAAGTATGGCGTGTAGGATCAATAGCAGATTTTTAGATGGAATAAAGTGCATACAGAACTGACTCGTACACTTCATAACCAAATTATGCCACTTTTAATTAATTAATTATGCCACTTTTTTTAATCTCAGAATTAAAATGCATTGAAGTAGCTGAGCCTAAAATGTGCAACAGTCTTTTAGTCAGAACTAAGTATACTTATTCTGTTAAAAATTTCCTACAGTTTGCCATGTCAGAAAGTAGATTTTTTTTATTTTTTTTTATTTTTTTTTTTTTTTTGGTCATCTGCTTGCTACAGATAAGTATAACAGAGAGTAGACTTAGCTAGGAGAGCAGTAACTCTTCTGGTGACCCATTTGGGTGATTAAATAATGGATATTCCAGGGTTCAAAAAACCTCTTGCTAGTTTTAACTCCCTGTTCTGCAAATATGACTAACTTCTTTGTATGTGAATAGCATGGTGTGGTCAAGATGATTATTCTTGGGATTAAGGCTTGTTCTTATTAGTAAAATTTCACAGGAATGGATTTTCCACCTTCACAGGGTTAAAATGTGTTGCTTATTTCGGCATTATCACCTTTAGTATGTAGTGTCTATGTATTTAGATACAGACATTATTATTTTCGTATTACTTAGGAGGTTCTTTCAATGTCATTTTAATATTAAGTGTAGAAATTGATTTCAAGATGTGAAACTAGTAACAAAGTAATCACAATGAAGCTGTTATAATAATGAAAAGTGATGATATACCTACAATCAACAATCAAAGATGCACCCAGATATATAAAAGCGTGCTAACTCACAGCTATAAACTATTCTACTGCATAAGACGAAAAGCACTGTTTCTACAGAATGTCTTCTTTAATTTCAGGGTTTCTAGGTTGGGCAAATATCTTCTAGCAGAATGTTTATGTTTAGAGAGCTTATTTTATATTTTAACACTCTGGCTTTTTTCCCTAGGAACCCACTGTTATTTCAGCAATGAAGATCTCCACAAAACAGGTATTATGTGCACAAACTTTAAATCACTTTTAAATATTTATTGGTCTCTGTCTTTTAGAGACAGTAACTTGGCACTCAGTAGAAACATATTAATTACAGCAGCAGCATCCCATTCCTTTACATAAACATCAGTAGTTTCATGCGAAAATATGACATGCAAAGGAGAAAGGAAAAGGCTTATTTGTGTTACTTCCTGGTAGGGTGGAAACTAGAATCAAACTAACCAGCAGCCTAGAGGTTCTCTAGGAAAAAAAAAAAAAATCCTCATTATGGAATATTCTCATAATAGAGAAATTGGTCAAAAGGAGTGGCCAGACTTGGTCCCTTGCTTTAATGGGGCTAGTTCTAATCTCTGTAGGAATAGACTAGTACAAAATGCAGATCATGGAAGCAAAGACTGGAAATGAGATATCCTTCTGTCTCTCTGTCCAATACCTATTCCATTCTTGGATGTGCAACCATTCAGCTTTAAAAAAAAGAGGATAGATTTGAATTAATCCAAATTTTACATGTCCGCCTGGTTTAGGGATATGGTTAGGATGTGGGTTCCACACTCCAGAATTTATATTTCCTACTTCCTGTTGAGTCCACTAATACCTAGCTTCTTAAATGAAAGATTTTTTTTATAGCCTTCATTGTAGACCAGACCATAACTAAAATGAGCTGGACTTCTTGATGGATAGAGATGAAGTTTTGTTTGATTCACAGTAAAGGTGATTCTTGCACTTCTGAGCAGATATGACCAATTATTATTAGGCTTCCTTGCAGCTGACAAATTAGGTAGTCGTGCAAAAAACATTGAGACTAGTCTGGGAATGAAGTGGGTATTAGGGGCCTATCTTCCAGTTCTGCCTGGAATTATGTCGATGGATCCCAGCCATTGTCATTTCCTGTCTCAGGAGTCAAGAGACTCAAGAAGTCTGAGACATAAAAGTTAGTGGCAAATTTAACATAGTATCTTTTTTTTGCCCTTTTTCATGTTTGTGTTGATTTGCAGCCTAATTCAGTAAATACAAGCAAATTGTTCACATTCATTCATTTTTCCATTAATGTCTTTGTCAGTAAAGAGGAGATTTGGTATTACTTCTGGGACAGAGTGTAGTAAGAATTGTGTGTGTTATAAATAAGATTCAGTTAATTCATCTACCTCACTCTATGCATTATTAAACAGAAGCTGAGTGTGACAGAACCCAATACTATGTTTAAAATGCTGCATATTAACTCAGATTCACTGTATTGAACAAAGTTGTCTCAAAACATTAATGTACTTGACAGAAAACATTTTGTTTGGGGACATTCTAACATAGTTTACTACCTAAGACGACAAAAACAACAGGACAAAAAATAGTACTATTGAATACTGAGATATTTAAAAACAAACTTGCAAGCTGGATATATGTTCACATCATATGCAAGTGCTCTGTTTTGGATTGTTTTTATAAGTTTATTCCCTTAAAACAGCAAATCATATTTGATAACGGACCACACATTTTCATACAACTTCTTCAAATAATCTTCAATGATCCAGAAGTGATTACTATTTTCCCTGAGTCTTTTGAAAACAAATTTATACTGATAAACTTGTCTAAATCTAAAAAAGAGCATAAAACACAAGTTATGCAGGCAGAGTTAAGCTCATGAAAAATCAGCTATCCTCAGGCTAAAAATGACAGAATTATGATACAGTATGACAAGCTTTTGGCACTGTGTCTCTGTATCAAACAAGTATACAGCAACATGTTTCTGGTTTATATTTATGATTTAAAAATTCTGTATTTTCAGAACTCAAACACTTTACACATTATGTTCTGATAAACGGTTTTTTTTAATATAAACAGCATGATATTTGTATGCATTGTAGAAAGCAGGAGCATGAAATGTAAACAGCAAAACCGGCACATCCTATTGAATAACTTTAAAGCAATCACTTCATCTTAAAGACCAAAATCTACAAATGCTTCATTAGAAGAAGGTAGCTTAAGTTTTAAATTATATACAACTCAAAGGCTCCCATGCCTCTCTCTATGAGTATGAATTTGGCCTCAAGTGAGAGTGGCTTTGAGCAAGAAAACTTAGGCTTTATGTGCAAAACTAAGCTTTAATATAGCCCCCCTCAAACTCTAATGTCTTTAACTCACAGGAATTACATTTTCTCACTGAAGTTATATATTCATCCTAATTGGGTTCAGAGCCTTAGGCGTGTGTAACTTTATCACCTAACCAACTTCTGCATGATTAGCCATAGACAGAAGCCTCTGGAGGACAGCATCCTAGAGCCACGGCGACACCCTGCAGATGCCTAAGTTCACCATTCTGTGGGAGCCAGGCTTGCTGGGAGTCCCTGGCTACCACTTGGACCTGAGCCTGTCAGGTGGGCCTCCATCATTTTTCCCTTGATTTAAAAATGCAGAAGCAGGCTAAAAGTCAGGCCTGGCTTTCAATCAAAGGTGACTTTTTGTGGAGCAAATTCTCATCTTTTTTTTTTTAGGATCAGGTTTGTGATCCTGTGTTTCAAAAAGTCAGTGGATTTCTGGTAAGATGCGAAAAAAAACGATGAGATCCTTCTCTGATACAGGCCCCCTCCTTTCCCTGAACTCCTGTGAAGAGCATTTGTTTCTCCTTCATAAGACTTTCAATCAAAGGCAAGGCAGAGACCTTCAGAAAGACCTTAGTGACTACTTCTATACTATTTTTCACAAAGTACTGAATTTTACTCAGACATCACTGTTTCTGTCCACAGTAAGCATATAGAAAAGACCGAAAATGTATATCACTTAAACAGCCCCCTGAACTATTCTACATCAGTTACTTTTCAAGATATTAAATTAAATGGAATTTAAACCTCATACTTCCTAAAGTTCCTTTTAAAATTCTGCCCAAGTTGTTCTTTATCTTGGGTTTGGGTTTTTTTTTTAATCTTACTGCAAATGGAAAATACTCCATTATCTATTTGACTTCTAGAGAAAAACTTCATTTTGGGCAGCATCATCGGGCAAACAGAAATCACTGGACTGCTTAAAACATTAGTCTCCTCAGATATCTGGGGGTTTTTACTTCTGCAAGAATTTTTAATGGACAACTTTTTTTTTTTTTTTTCCTCCCACCCTCTGGTTTGTCTGGTAATCAGCTGATTTATTAAATCAACAGCCTCTTGGGAGAGACTCTGCCTAAAAGGCAGTTTGGCTGTGTATGGCAAAGCAAGATTAGACCATTGATGCAAATCATTCTGTTACTGTTTTATGAATTTCATACTGCCTGAACTTCTATACTATTAGTGTCCGGAGTAATGATCACCAGCTGGAGTTGACAATCATGATCAGAAGAGTGGCAAACAGAGCAGCAGCCTTCAGGCTGTGCAGCACCTGAAACACACGCTATAGGTCACTGACTGAACTTCATGAATTTATCTAAAGGACTAGACTCTTTAAGTAACCCTATTTTGGCCTCACTTTATTTTTTCTTAGGTGTTTCTGGTCGTTCTTTAATTCTAAAGACATTTTTTTAGAAATCAGGGTAGGTCTTTAGGTAAAATTAAATTGGTTACAGAGGTACATAGGAAACAATTACACCATTCTTTTTTATTTTCCCATGTGCATTCTCTGGGTTGATTTTTATATTAGTTTCACCACACATTACTACATGCTTATATAGGTATTAATGCGCCAATTATGTAGGACTCAGATCAATACCATCTGGACATTTAAGATACTTAACTGAAGCTCTAATTTGACCTATGCTGTCTCCATAATCAGTAAAGAGAAAAGGCATCCCTTGAGAAATAGTTAGGTCACCTAAGATTTGAATTGCTGCTCTTTTTACTGCAGACATGCCCCTAAGCTGGGTACTTGATTAAGTGGCTTAAATTAGAGAGAATCAGTTTATCATGTCTGCTGCCTGTCATCTGCTTCTCAAGGATACATCACTGACTGGGGGCTGGTATGTACACTTAGGCTTTAGTGTAGAGCTCTGAGGGGTCAAAGATTTTGGCCCAGAGAACGTGAGTTTACAGCCCAGCTATGGCACTGTAACAGATTGAAACAGCTGCTTAAAAGGGGCTTAATTTTCAATTTACCAGTGAATTTTCCTTTGGGTGCTCTTCTTGTCATGTCTTCCCTAAGAAAATACTGGTGTTTATATAAATACACGGGTTGTTTCTGTTTGAACTAATATATCTGAATAACCTGCCAAGATGCTGTCTCTGAAAGAAGTTGACACCTTTTATGAGTGATTTTGTTTTTGCTGTATCCTGGTATTTAGTGGTCATCATTTCTACTTGGTAGGTGACCTCAGCCACCTTCCACACCTGAATTCCCTGGAAATGTTACCTCTGGGATATCACAATGAAGGAGAGGAAGAATTTTGATAACATTTCTTCAAATCCTATTTTTCACACTAGCTTTATGTTTTCTAAGAAAGAAACATTAATACAAATCTATATTTTCTTGGTGGCACTGCTTGGAGTTGGACCTTAGAAAGAAATGTATTAATTGCTCCACCATGAGTGCTGAGTGACAAAGTTTAAGTTTTTGATAGTAAAGTGACAGTGCTTCCAGGACAGAATGATCGTTCCATTTAATTTTTGTTTGTCTATTTATTTTGTTTTTCCCTGGCTTTGCAACTCAGAGGGAACTGGTATTATTTACTACATTTGTACTTGTTTGCTTGGTGAATTAGTGCTAAGCTGACATAGCTCTGTTTGGACTTTCACGTGGGATCAGTAGTTCAGTTTCCTTATGTCCCTCTGGAGACCAGCTTCCCTAATGGACCCCGTGAGTTTGATATCAGAGAGGAAATTGAAAGAGACAAGATATTCTGTTGTGATGCCATACAAAGCTGTAGTTCATTTTATATGCAAAGGTTTTTTATTTACTTCATGGCTTCTTTCTGCATTTGAACTGCATCTTCAACCCAACACTGTTTTTTATCCAAAATAAAGTAAACCAACTTCCCTCATTAAAGATATTCAGTTAGAGAATGTAACTTATAGAAAAGAGTATAAAACAGAATTTTCAGCCATTCAAAGGACTGTATGTATGGCAACACTTCCAAGGTGAACTATCTTAGCATCAATATGAAATAATTTAGTTTGTGTTTCCCCACACATATACACAAATCAAAGTCGTATACTGACTGTAGTGTTTTCCCAGAGCGGGGATCTGAATACAAAAGAAAAAATGGAAGAGTACTTTAATTTTTCTTACTGTTTAGAGAAGCCACCTACAGCTTCATACAAAAATCAACATTTTTCCTATTTGAATTTTTTTTTATCCTGAGGACAATTCTCATTTCTGTAGTATACATAGAATCATAGAATCATAGAATCATTTAGGTTGGAAGGGACCTCCAAGATCATCAAGTCCAACCACCGAGCCACCAGGGCTCCAAAGTCCTCTGCCAAAACAGATCAGAATCTGTCAGGGTTGGAAGGGACCACAAGGATCACCCAGTTCCAACCCCTCTGCCATGAGCAGGGACACCTCCCACTAGACCAGGCTGCCCAGAGCCTCATCCAGCCTGGCCTTAAAGACCTCCAGGGATGGGGCCTCAACCACCACCCTGGGCAACCCATTCAGTGATCCTCAATTGTGTTTGTAGTAGTCCCAACATATTATAACTTTTTTCATGCTTTCCTATAAAAAAACTAGTAATTCACTGTTTTTATAAAATTCTTTTCTTAACTTCTGTAACAGCAACAGCTCTACATCGGCTCAGCCACTGGAGTTTCACAGCTTCCTTTACACCGCTGTGATGTCTATGGAAAAGCATGTGCTGAATGTTGCCTTGCGAGAGACCCTTACTGTGCCTGGGATGGTTCATCTTGCTCACGTTACTTCCCCACTGCTAAGAGGTAGGGACAGTTTCAGATTTGCTATTTGTTTTAACTGATGGTCTCGATATGACCAGAGGGCTTTAGAGATTTTTCATGGGATGTTTAACTGGAGCCCTTTCACTTCCAAAGAAAACAGCTGTGGGAGTTACAAGGAATACGAAGTCCTGGTTGATTTAAAGTGAACACTGCTACTTCTTGCGTTGGCTTAAAATGCTGTTGTAAACATAAATTAAAAAAAAAAAATCAGAAAAAAGTTGTCTCTGAAATGGATTCATAACATTATATTCAGTAAGAAACAACAGAAGAAAAAAAATGCTTTTCTCTAACATGAGGAGGGGGCTTAATATTAAAATAAAAGCACTATCTGCCTAGCAAATTACCCTGCATTTACATGTATTCCAGTTCAAAGAAAATATTTGCAAAGTGTTTGGGCATGAAAGGAAAGCTACTTTTTTACTGATCTATAGCATTATTGTTATTATTCAAAAGTATAACCTATATGTGTTGATGTGCATCTAAGTGCTACCAGATCAGGACAACCTCTATTTTACATTCACACTGTACTGACACTAAATGTTTTGCAGTGCAAAAGTTAAGGGAAAACAGACTCTGCAAGTGAAAAATATAATTTTCATTAAAAAATTTGCAAGTCCTAGTTGACTGGTCTGAAGAGTTAAAATATTTTCTTTGCCTACCTTTATCTCTGAAATTCTTTCTCTTAAAGTATATAAGATACTTACTGAACAGCTGTTAGCTGCTAAATTAAAAATTAGGAATAACTGAATAGCTACTCACTTGCAAATAAAAACAGATATTGGTGTAGTGTTGAGATTCCCATGATAAACTGGTTAAAATTATAAAAAAAAAATCTCTGCTTACATTAAATGGAACATGCCAAACATCTCACACTTCTAAAGAAACACAAAGTCCAGGGGTTTATATGCATAAGGAGCCTTTATTCTAAAATTAGTAGCAAATAGTTGAGAATGTAGGGACTCTGAATTCCAGATTTGGACTGGTTGTTGCAGGAAATGTGGTAAAGGGTGGGAAGTAGCAATTGTGTTACAGACTTTTCAGATGGAGGGGATTAGAATTTCAAGGTTTGCATTACAATGTATCCTAAACAAATACTGCTGACAAATAAAAAAGCTGCTTATGGAACATCAGGTTCTATTTTGCACCAGGAAACAAAGTTAATCTGAGACAAGCTTTTTTGCGAAATTCTTTCAAAAAGAATTAAAAAGGAGGAACTAAACCCATCTCAAAAGAAGAGCTGGTCAGATTTTCTCAGCTGTATGGGCTAAATTCAGATTTGTGTTTGGAGCACATCAGTTTGTCTGTACAAGGAGGAAAGAGAGGAGAGGGAGCAGTGAGGTTTTCAAGGAGAGTCTGAAAGATAGATTTGATCTGAAAGTTTTAAGGGCTAGAAATCAGTGTGGTTGAGCACTGCCTCTGAGTCAAAGGGGACAGTAAGGCCAGGAATCACTGAATCACTTTTCTGCTACCTCCCTACTAATATTTCTGCCTGAACCTCGTCCTTTCTTAGCATTCACTGGTACACATTCCTAATCCAGCCCATCTCAAAATATCTCAAGACCTATGTAGTACATCATCCTGTCAATCATCTCCTTACAATGATGGAAGAAATAGGGCTCATTTGTCTTTTCCTTACCTGTCTCTGTGATTTATTAAGCAGCAGACCAAGTTCACTGTCGCTATCAGGGGTAAAGGGACTGGGACCACTTGTTGCTGGGGCCAAAATGGATTGAATAGCTACAGGAAAATCTTGGGGTGCAGCATTTACTCTTCTTGAGGTCACTATGAAAGCAAAAGTAAGTCCTGGAAGGCTGGGATCCTGACAATGCATTTAGAAAAAGCTATTGTCCCTCCCTCTTGTCCCTATTTTTCCCTTGGTAGCAGCAACAGAATAAAGGTCTGTGCTACTGGGGGAGAGGACCCTCTGTCTACCTGGTACCTGCTGTACCCACTGCCTCAAGCTGGCTTTGAATGGGTGTATGACAAAATCAGCATTGCTGGAAACAGCTTTAATGTCAACATTTTCGTAATAATGAATCCTTGTAATGTTAGGCTCCAGAAATATTGGGAGAGCTGAGTCCTTAGGCAATTGCACAGATGCTTTGCTAATAGTTGGTTTGGGGTTTTGGTTTTTTTTGTTTTGTTTTGTTTTGTTTTGTTTTAAAAAGGAGCTTTTTATGAGCCATGATTTTAATTTACTTTTCTCTTTTTTTTTTTTTTTTTTTTTTTGTGTGTGTGTGTGTATTTTACAAGTCTGAATAGACAGTTCAGAGCTCCTGTAGTGCAACCACTTAACTTTACCCCATGCAGATGTATTCTGGTTTGTATTTCATAAATCATTGTGTTGATACAATGGGGATATGTGTGACATTTTCCTGAGATTCTAACTAAATATCTCATCAAACTCTATTGACAGTAATATGAGTCGTTCCAAAGACTTCTTTTCTACAAATAGCATCCTATAAATATGCTGCATTTCAAAATTTAAGAAAGAGTAACAAAAATTTATGGTTCCTTATGTTTTGGTGTATTTTTATACATTGGTAATGAGTAATATGAAGAGAATATCTGAAATTAGAACTTTTTTGAATCATATATCAATCAACAGAAGGTTGCTTCTTATTAAAGCATTCTAATTCACTAGGATAATTTGAAAGAAGTTTTTATTCAGAAAGATATAAAAAATACACATTATTTCAATACTTCACATTACTAATCTTACTTTTAACATTTAAAAAAATTGCAGTGGATAAAAAATGGTCAAAATCTTTCGTCCCAGAAGAGTCATCTGTGCAGCTGATGGTGCCTTTGTGAGAACTCGGTATATGCTGATGCTGAACTGTTAGCCAGAGTCTGTAAACGGGGCTAGTGAACAGAAGAGAGATGGCCTCTGTACTGCCGAACAATGGCTTTTTAAAAATGTGAGCTGTTGTCACAAGGGAGTGACCAACGGTGCTTTTACAAGGCTACTTGACTTTTTGCATATCCGTTGCTGCATGCTATAATCTGAAATCACAGCATTGTTCAGCAGCCTAATCCTCTTTGTTCTCCTCTAATTTTGCAAGCCCTCAGGCTTTCTCTGATTCCTCAAGTAAAGTGCTCACACTTGAAACACATCTTTGTTTGCCTTGTTCTTTTTTTTTATATGAAAGGCTTTTCTCTGGTTTAGTTGAATTTTGTGACACAGCTATTTAAATAAAAATAGGACCAGACAAAGAGAGAAAAACAAATGCAAAATAAAGCTGTATTAAAAAGCTTTATTCTGTGGAATACAACAATTTTTGGCACAGATCAATATGTTTTCAAAAAAAAAAGCCAGTGAAAATCAAGCTGGGGGAAGACTATACTATGTTAAATGGACATGCAATAAAAGCCAGAACCCAGACTGAAGCTACAAATAATGGAATAAATGACATTTCAAATTCTTCCTATCCAAATGTTTTATTCAGTTTATTCTAAAGGCAAAGCCATTTGCAACAAGTTTGGAAAAGGTTTTAGCAGAACTGTTTTGGTGAGATCTGTAGTGGCTGAAATGATCTATGCATTTAGCTTAGGTTCTGCAGAAAATACAGCACTTTGAAATTCTTTCAAAGCCATCCATCCTAACATTTCATTCTACTAAAAGATGGTGTGATACTTGAAGTATTTTCTGTGCTTGAAGAAAAGCTGTGGCTTCTTCGTGTATTTTGTTGCATGTATGGTGCTGTATGCGTTTTAAACTTTAGCAGTCCCTGTGTCTATGAATCAAGTAATGAATTTATCTGTGATCAATATTGTCAACACAGTTAAAGCAAACTTCTAGACTCGGTGTACATGAGACATGTTTTTACCATTTTCTGAAGGCATTACCCATAAAACTAAAGGCTAATTCTACAAACCGTAATGATGCAGGAATACAGTGGTACCAATATGATTTCCTTTCTAGTGTTGTTTAGGTGCACTTGTGACCTACGTAATTATGTATACGGTCAATTTGTTCCTCTTTAGTCATGGCAAATGTGAATGCTGACCACTGAGAAGGTCACTAACAGTTTTCAAATATGTTTTCAGACGTACTAGACGACAAGACATACGAAATGGAGACCCACTTACCCACTGCTCAGACCTGCAGCATCATGGTGAGTTAAGGGTATGACTGAAGTACGTCTAATCTGTATGTAATTTACAGACATGCAGTCTGTAAATGTCTGTGAAAACACATGAATGGTTTGTTGGTGTAATTGTCTTGAACATCTGGGAAAGATGAATATAATACATCATTATCCCAATTTAGATTGCTTACAATGGCCTGGATCAGACACTGAAAACTATTTTCTTCAAGTTAACAGTTTTAAGCATGTCATTTTTTTCTGCTTCGCTTACCTGATAATACCATATCATCAGACTTGACATATGTCAGAAAATAGTCATATCTCCTTCAGAACAGCAGGTATGTGCATGTTGCTTCATATAGTTTGCATAGGACGGTAATCAAACACATAATTAACTACACTGGCTAAATGTGGAATGGTCTTTGTTGTAATTGCCACACCAGCAGCTGTTAAGATCAGGATGTTCCTTGCAGTAGGCCTGTTCCATGTGCTTTCTTTGACATTTTGGGGGCTTGGGCTTTGTTGATTGTTTCATTTTCACAGTTTATTGACCAGACCTTCCCTTCTTGATTTGTTTGTCTGGTAAACTTCTCACAGTTACTAATTTGTTGCCAAACTCTTCAGAAGAACTTTGCTCAGAAAATGAAAAATGTCCATTTTGCTGTAGGTGAAGAGAACACTTAGGAAATACTTCCCTCTGCTGGAAAAAATGATACTCATCTTTGTGGTACATTTATAATAACAGTTAAACCACTGGAAAGATTTCTGGGATAAATAAAGAAGGGGTGGCTGAAAATGGAGATACCTCAAAATCCCCATGTCATTTCAGTCTTGTAATGGCAAGAATAGCAAGTTGTACTTTTGTGTCAGCTATTAATCACCACCATTGCATTTCAGCAGTAGTTTTCTATATCTTCCTTATTAATCGTTTAAAACACACAGCTAATATTGCTAAAGCTTTACTTGTTATTTTTGATTGTTAGACTCATGCCAAGCTACTCAGAGGGGTAAAGGATTTGGAGAAGTGCATGAATAAACTATGATCAATATGCAGTTGTCAAGTTTTGAGAACTCATGAATGCACAACTAGTTTAGGTTTGAACTAGTCAATGTGGAGTAAGAGAAAACTCACAGATTTCCAGTTGCATGGTATCTGTTAATGCTTATACAGTGCAGATGAGACCATCCATGTATTTAGGTTGAGATGGCATTTTCTGTTCCCCCATAGGAAAATTTCACCAGGCACTAAATGTGGGTTTTATTACCAGAAGCAGAAGGATGGCTTAGCTTTACCATTTTACTATCTACACGTTTTACCCATGAGTAAAATTATGATCTGGGCTGCTACCTGTCCATTTTTTTTTAATGTTCTCTTGCCCCTGCTAGCTGTGCTTTATACAACTGTAGGTCTGTTCTTTATCTTCATAGACAAGAAAAGGATTTCACAACACTTTGCTTTTTATATCTTGCCATGTTTGGTTAACGTATTTGGCTAAAAGATATCTTCTGTCCAAAGGAAAGAGAGTAATCTAGTGCAGTTTTTTTTCATGACAACAATCACGAGAACTCAAGGTCAGGAAAAAGCTATTATATGCTACACCTAATCACAAGGAACTTCAATACAGCTTTGTCAAAATTAGCAGAGCAAGTAAGAGGGCGGATATCACTGCAAATTTTACTTAATGGTGAAATGAAGACAGTTTGATTAGAAGGATTGGTAACTTGCAAAAACTGGGGGGGATGCAATTCTGGATCCTAGATTTAAGGATGTGCTGTCAAAATACTTCATAAATGTTTTAGATTGCTCTCAAGTGAAATTTTCTCTAAATTAATTCTGAGTTGTAAATCTATAGAGTTATCCTACACTTGTCATTTACACAGGATCATTTATTGTAAAGGCAGCTGCATGGCCTATGAACTTCCTATGTCAACTTACTCTGAGATTTTCTGTGGTTATGTAGTGCTTTCCTGGGCAGGGATGAAGAATTGGGTTTGTCTATACCCAAAAATAAGCTCCAGCAATCAGATGATTGCTCACTTGCTCACGTGTTCCTTTGCAGTAACTGCCATTTGATTCACCACGTGAACCAACAGAAACAAGCAAAAAGAAAAATTTCTTAGTGTATATCTCACTTTTAAAGATGTTGCAGAAACTTAATTTTATATCAGTCTGAAGCAACAATGCATTTAGTAAGGTTTAGGTGGCTCTTTCAGTTGCTGTCTTGGGCAAATGTGTAAGTACTATCAAGAAATTAATCAAGTTTTTTTTTTTTTAAGATTTTTTTTTTTAAGAATTTGTAAATGAAAAGGCACCTTTTTTATGAGATTTATCCCAGGGAAAGCTTAAAGAATCACACTGGATTTAACTATAGAGTGACATTCATTCATCTGCAAAGTAATCTTGGTAAAATACTTAGCCTTCAATACCTTTGGTTATGTCAGAAGTTATGTATTTAAAGGATATTTATCAGGATAGTAAATTGATACTGCAGTTGGGTCCATTTGGGGAATTGCAGATCTCAGAAAGGATTTTGGGTTGAATTTCATAACCAGCTTAATGACTTTTATAAATTTTCAGTTCCGCCAGCTCCTCTCCCAATTTTTCCAGACTTTCATTCTTCCTTTTAGTCTCTTCAGTTTCTCCCTCTGTCCCAGAGCTGCACTCTGATCCTGTGATTATTCTGTCACTTCTGCTTCCTTTCTTGGACTCCACATGCTCAATATTATATGATTTTATAGACATTTCTGGACCTTCTTTTTCTCCCTTAAATCATGGAAATGGAATTTGAAGGATGTCTTAAATCCCTCCTGTCTCATTGCATGACTGCCAACCACACTATGTTTTCTGGACCTGTAAGGAAATTTAAAGAGGGCTTCTGCCACTTTCCATGGTAATCCCTAAGATGCTAGAATGCCATGAACCAGATTCAGGAAAATACTCAGAATTTTGAAATTATGTCAGAACATTCACCTTCAAGGTAAATTCCATGAAAACTTGTGTTTAGCTTCTTACATACTAATATTACTTAGAAACTAAAAATGATCAAAGGAATGAAACGCCTCTCCTTTGAGGAAACACAGAGTTGTAGTTGTTTGTCTTGGAGAAGAGAAGGCTCTGTGAAGAAGTTACTCTGATCTTTTAATACTTAAAGGGGGCCTATAAGAAAGATAGGCACAATCTTTTTAGCAGGGTCTGTTGCAACAGGACAAGGGGTGATAGTTTTAAACTAAAAAAAGGGGATATTTTGGTATAAGGGAGATAGTTTTGCAATGAGGGTGGTGAAACACTAGCACAGCTTGCCCAGAGAGGTGGTAGATGCCTCATCCCTGGAAACATTCGAGGTTAGATTGGACAGGGCTCTGAGCAACTTGATCTTGTTGATGGCCCTGATCAGTTCATACAAGTTGGACTAGATGGCCTTTAAAGGTCCCTTCCAACTCAAAACATTCTGTGATTATAAAGATATCTTAGGTATCTAAATTCTCCAGCAGAAACTTCTCTATGTATTTAAAAGTATGCTGGTCATGTGCCCTTGCCAAATAGGTATTTATTTTTGTCCTTTGTACTGATATTTAGGGTCTAAAAGACTGTCTCCTTAGATCCATTGAGACCAGTGTTACATGTGCTCTGCTTTTATATAATTACACTTGGACTACGTTGCGTTCAGGAAAATATAGTCAAATGGTGCTGCAAGCCACCTAGTTAGTAATTTGCTGGTTAAATCAAGTTTTTAGGATGTGGGATAAGAAGACTCAAAATCCATTTAAGCTTGGGAGGTTGACTTCATTTGATAGCTCTATTTTCAATACAAGCACCCAAAATATTGGATTGCTTATGTTGAAGTTGAGGCATTATACAACCATGATTCAGGTTCATGGAGCCTTGGAGACAGGAACTGAAATAGAGCATGCATACTAGAATGAAATCCCTGTGTTTCCATCCTAGAGTGAAATCCCCATTTTTACGTCCTTTATTCTGAAAGCCTGTAAAACTATACTTCACAGAAACACATCCCTGGACTAGTAGCATGTATGTCCCAGGCTACAAAAGGGGACATTTGCTACTGACTGCCTTATGCTGCATCCCTAAATGTGCTATCTGTTGTGGATGCCAGTTCAGATATTTAACTACTTCTTGTTGATTATATGAGGATCTTTGTCTGCCTGCTCAGCTGTGTGAATTCTGTTCATAATGAGACCACCTAACTTGAAACAGAAGAGTCAGGGCTTCAGACAGCCATTCACAATGTTGAATCTGGACCCATGAGTTATCAGCCAGCCTTTTCATTTCTAGTCTTTATTGTATCGCTTCTAGTTCTGTTCAGTTAATCTCTGCACATACTTTCAGTTCCTCTGTTTCACTGACACAAATTCGCTCCTGCTTCATCTCAGCTATTTCCACTGGTACCCTTGGTTACGTTCTCCTCCAGCAGCCTTCTCTTGTTCCTTTGCTTTCTAATTCATTCCTCCATTGCTCTCCATGTCCCAAAAGCTGCACTGACATTTTTCATAGGCATGTGGCTTCTGAGAGATGTCATAAAAGTTATTCAGTTAGTCAGTTATATAGCACCCCACTTACTTGCTGGAAAGGCTCACAATCCAGCAGAGGAAAGCAAGCTACCCCACTCCCTATTTGCTTGGTGTTAATAGGCCATTTGATGTTTCCTTACTGAGAACTGGGCAAGCACCAGTTCCTATTCTGTCTCACATCCTTTCTCCCATCCTCTCTTAGGGCTGCAAATCATTATGGAAAGACATGTGATTGCTGTATCAGTGTAAGCCAGGAGCTCGGTTTTAGTTTTACCTTTGGCGCAGTCGTGTAGCAAACAGCCTGTGTTTGCTAAACAGCGTGGCCGACGTGGTAAAGGCACAGTGAATGCAAAAAAAAAATTGACAAAGGATTTCTCTGAAAGCGTTTTAATTAGGCATCATTTTCCTGTTAAAATATATCAAAAGAAGTTCCTTAAAGATTTCCAGTGCTAAAGATCAAAAGTTGAAAATGGAAAGAAAGACAAATAATGGCAAAGAGACAGGAAACCCCATGAGATCAACACAGTGTTAAATAGCTTAGCAACCCCTTCCTCCCCATCTATTCTCCAGGATTATTGTACTGTTACCACTTAAGTCCATAACAGCATTTTAAAGAGCTAAGGTGGAGAGCTGAAATATGATGCCTTACAGCCTCTGCGGTATTGGAGAAGAGTCAAATACCATATAAGTCCTATAGCTATGTGATATTTCCAGCAAGTGGATAAATATCTTGAAACATTGTTCTTACAAAAGGAAGTAATTTATTTAACCTTCTTTTTCCCCTCCCATAATGTCTGGTTTATTAACCTCATTACATTTCCATAAATTATATCAGTATGAAAGGAAACGATTAATTGAAGATTGTTTCCTCAAAAACATTATTCGTGGTCATTAACAGCTTCAGCAAACTGCAGTGCCATATAATCTAAACACATTATACTACTTTAAATAGCCTCATGTTTTATTACTTTGCTTTAAAGTATTATGGTCATAGAGCCCAGGAGGCATCATTACAGATATTCTGCAACTACAGCCGGAATTTTCTCACTGCATACAGTTGACTGTTAAAAATTCTTGTCGTGTCCTAGATGTTTTCCTTGATGAATAATAATGAGGTTTACACAAAATTTCACAATGAAATTCATTAACTTCACATATTGAGATGTTAGCAGCTGTTAGGATTTAAAATACAAAAATAAAATTTAAAAAATCTACTAAGGATGGTTCCTTACAAAGATAAAGATATTGATCAGGATTTTCCAAACATCATGCTGGTATCAGGGAATTTTTCTTTTAAAGTTTTTAACTCTAAACACCTTAAGGGAACCCAATTTCTAAACAAACAAATTTGCTTAGCAGTTAAGATTTTTCTTTCTTAGTAATTTTAATTTTTTTGTTTGTTTGTTTATTTGTTTTTTTTCTTCTTCCTTGCTTTACAGATAACCCAAGTGGTCAGACCCTGGAGGAAAAGATTATCTATGGAGTAGAGAATAGCAGCACTTTTCTTGAGTGCAGTCCAAAATCTCAGCGTGCTGTAGTCTACTGGCAATTTCAGAAGCAAAATGATGACCGCAAAGAAGAGGTACAGTAGAAAAAATACAGAGATTCAACTAGTCTTCTCTCTGAAGATATGCTTGAATCAGAGTCCTTCCTAGAATAATGTCCAAATGTATTTAAGTTTATCTGAATTTTTCTGGTATCTTATAATTCAAAAATTCTTCACCATATTCTTCCTCTTACCCCTATAAAATCCCATAAGCTCTCTAATGGGTTTTACAGACTGTTGCATCAGAAAGCACTCATATCCTCTCCCTCGTCAGACCCCCTGCAAAACTTGTTGGATTCCTCTTAGATATCTCAGAAATACAGAAAGCTAGCATGCTACCTAAGTGTGGCCTATAACATTACACAGGGATTGTATTGAATTTAAATATTACAAAGATCTTAAAACCCCTTCTGAAAAAAAGCCTAACTGCATTGATCTAATTATACTATTTGACTGAAACACAGTGTAACAGCAGCATTTCCTATGTACTGTAAGAGTTTACTGCAGGTAAGACAGAGAGAGAAAGAAGAACCGGGAACTGTAGTGGACACAGGGGTGTGAAAACTTGTTGGATTTTTTTTATGAAAAGCAATACTCATAGAGGGAAGAACATTGACTTTTTCTGCCTGCATTACACTAAGGTGATACTTTATTTTTCTCCTTCTCTTGTCACCAACATTCTTATGTTATTACTCACTCAGATTCTCCAGTCATGTTGCTATCAAGCTAGGTCACATAGATCTTAAGAGAATAATCTACTCTGGTAGGGTGAGAGATCAGGCTGGGAAACAAAAACTTGTTTGTTGAAGTGAAGCATTTGTAAATATACCAAAACTACTCTGAAGCATTTATCTTTTTCTAAAGCACGTGCTAAATACTTCATTACATTAGCAACTTCAGATATTTTTGGCATTTGCTTTGTTTGTGTAATAGTAAATTATTTAGAATTTATTCTTGATGGAGAGAGCAGCAAACAGGTTTGTGCCCTTTCTGACTGCAGCAACATGTGCATTCAAAGAAGGAAATTGTAATCTAGATATTAAGAAATTCAGAAAAAAAATATAATATTTTGGATAGCTGTTTTTTTAATATTAAAATTTTGAGAGTGAATGCTTACTGTTCTTCATAAATTCTCCACTTTTGCAGAACCCACTTCCATGCAAAAGGGCTTTTGTAGTAAGAACAATAGGAAGGCAGAGAAACTTTCCCACAAAGGAAGGCTTGACTAAAAGAGAATGGTAAATGTGACCTCGGTAACATAGACAAATGCATCCATGTTGACTCTGCTGATTATAGGCTTGCGTCTTCTGTAATCTTACCAGCAAATCCATCTGACAGAGTTGATACAAATTTTTGTTTAGCAGCAGTAGGGACTAGGGAGTAAATTCTTAATCCCCCAAACACTTTTCTGTACATCAGTTATTTTCCCAGAGTGTTTGAAACTTCCACAAATACAGATGACTGTCAAGGGGTTTTCCATTATGCAGTTTTGGGGACCTTTGGTCAAGTTTTACCAGCAGAAAAAAACAGTACTAAGGAACTAGTTTGTTTAGGGGATAATGTTGCATATACATACAAGATAACTATTGAAATTACCACTTTTTTCCAACATAGATAAAAGTGGATGATCGCGTGATCCGGACAGAACAGGGCTTATTGCTACGAAGTCTTCAACGGAGGGACTCTGGTATTTATTTTTGTCATGCTGTGGAGCATGGCTTCATGCAAACGTTGCTCAAAGTGACCCTGGAAGTAATTGATACTGATCATCTAGAAGAGCTGCTCCATAAAGAAGAAGATGGAGATTCTTCCAAGTCCAAGGATGCTACCAATAGCATGACGCCCAGTCAAAAGATCTGGTATAGAGACTTCATGCAGTTAATCAATCACCCTAATCTCAACACAATGGATGAGTTCTGTGAGCAGGTTTGGAAAAGAGACCGCAAACAACGCCGGCAAAGGCCTGCCAATGCGCAGGTGAATACAAATAAGTGGAAGCACCTACAGGAGAATAAAAAAGGTAGGAACAGGAGGACCCATGAATTTGAAAGGGCACCACGGAGTGTCTGAGCTACGTTACCTCTAGGAACCTCATCCAAGTAGAAACTTGTATAGACAGATAACTGGAAAAAAAATGCAATATTCATGAACTTTTTCATGGCATTATGTGGATGTTTACAAGAGTGGAAAGTTCAAACAATTTCCACCAGGTTTGAATAAAATCCATTTCTAACTTTCCTAGTAAGGCCTTCCTCTCTGCTCTCATTCTAAGACCAGAAAGACCAGAGTTTCAAGGAAGATCAATCACTCGGACCTAGCTTACTGCTCAAAAAGTTCTACAAGTGTGCAGCAGGCAATTTTTGCTTTCTCTTTTGCCTGAGATACAAGCAAAATGCTGTTATTTCATGCTGTCATCTTAAAGAAAAGAAAAATCCCACCTTTCATCATCAACACTAGCATTTCTAGACTTATATATAAAACTGCATGAACGCATTAAGCTGATGAACATCTAAACACATGATTGGACACAAAGATTTTGTTCTTGTTTTGTCTACCAGTTCTCCTGTTTATATGTACTAGAAGAGGAAAAACAATACTGAATGCGATTGTTTGTGGAAATCTGAACAACATAAGCCATCCATTATCTGGAAGAACAAAAAAGTGTGGAGTACACTGGCCTACTACTGATGACTTCTTTCAGCTTTGATCTAAAGATGTATTTTATTAAAACTATAATTTAAATGTACCATGAAAAATATGCAGCAAACATTAGCTCTTTTCTAAAATAGATTAGACTTTTTGTCTTAGAAATATTGTACTTTCTAATTATTGGTTTAGTGGAAAAAAAAAATACAACTTCCAATTATGAGCTGCTTTATTCTTTTGTTTGGAAACTCTTCCAGGGGAGTTAGTCACACTGCAGTTAACCTCCTCCCCTCTCAGTAATCTATGACATGTAACTTCAAAACAACTTTAAAACTAAGCTATTTTAACATGAAAGTCACTGTATAGGATGGAAGTCTTCTGCATTCTTCTTTTCTAAGTATGGTATTTGGAATGATTAAACTTGTATAATACCTTGCTATAGATTGAACCAACGAAGAGAAGAGCATTGATTTTCAGTTGTATATTTTTTTTTTTTTTAATTAAAAAAAGTAAATAGCATTAAAATACCCTCTACTAATTACACTCTTGCTTTCTTGGTTCGTAAATATTTGTGAATGCTAGTATTTAAATACTGTGGCTCATAGACTGTCATATATCCATGAGCAAAGCTCACATTCAGTTTAAGGAGTTTTGTTCCCAGCTCAGTGGTAGAAATATGTCCACACTACTGATTCTCAGTGCTCTATTCTTTCTGTGGGCCACATCACCCAGACGCAAAGAACCAGCACTAGGCCACATAAGTAGTAACCTCAAAGCCAGCACTCTGTTTTAAGATCTAAGGGACAGTTTTATCTGTGGGTGAAGTCTGCTGCTGTAGTAAACTGATGAAGTTCAGCTTAAGACTAGCTTATACTAACAGATAATTTGGTCCTGTACTTCTGTCTTATTCTATATACAGGAGAGCAACAGGGTAAAACAGACAATGTACTTTCACCATAAGTGTCAGTTTAGGGTTATAAGTAGTGGATTTATTCACCTCAGCACAGATGTGCCTTTGGTCCCCAGTTCTATGGCGTCCAGTTCTTTTGAGATCATCTTTCTCCAGCCTCCCATATTTTACCTTGGTAGAGTCTGTAAATGACATAATTTCAAGTAATGTCATTGTGGGGAAAATTACTAGAACAAAGTCCTTAGTTTGCTAAAGGAGCCTTTATATAAAAGTGTGTCTGTATTGATGACTGATCTGTTTTGTTGTTATTCACTCCAGATTATTTTATTTATCAATCACTACACTATTAGCCTTATCAGCTACAATATAACACAACTACTGTGACAGCTTCTTTCACAATATGTCCCAATCTCCTTGCCACTCACCAATTCAAGTATCCTTCTGATTAATGAAGCCTTGGCCTCTTACCTCCATAGCAATTGGATTGTCACTAACTGCCCAGGCACTTTAGTCTCTTTTGAATCTTTGCAGGGGATGAACTTCTAAGATTTTTAGTCATTTAATTCTTCAACAAAAAATTCGCTGAATAGACCAGGACAACGTTGTAAGGCCATGATTTAGGAAAGCAATTGGGAATTTAGTTTTAATGCAAATGTAAGCCTCTCTAGTATTTAACTTGACTTCTGTGAACTTTAATATGCCATTAAATTCCTGTGCTTTCATGATGTGCTGAATAGGGATGAATTAAAACATAGATTCAAATATGTGATACACATATCTACATAGAGATATTAATTTTTCAGCTCATCTTATGATTCACTTCTGAGCATTGTTGTCAGCTGAATTATTAAATTGTAATCACAGAACAGTTTTTAGTATTTTGTATAGGGATATTTTGTACCATCAAGTCATTAGAATGCTCTTTGTTACAAAAGGAAACAGTTTTAAAATGAACCTCAAAGAATACATTAAGAAAAATACAGGTTGATTTCAACAGACCCTAAATGACTATATTTCTATTTTTTACACATTAATGGAATTATCTTTTTTTTTCTCTACTGTGCTCACAGCAACTGGTTCTATAGCAACTTGCTGCAAAAAGTGAAGTTAAAACCAACCTCTTTCACCACCCCTGAAGAAGAAACATATTAAATTATGTCAGCATTCTAAAATATCTTTTTCTATACAAAGAAAGATAATCTGTGGGAACAAAATTAACAAAGTTGCAGTATTTTTACCATAACCTGACAATCTAATAGGACAATCACAGAATCATTAAGGTTGGAAAGGACCTCTAAGATCATCAAGTCAATACAAACTTCAGTCCAATCGTACTGACATGAGTAGTCTTGTTTATGTCTTTGTATTTGCTTATATAAATTAGAGGGCAGAAAATCAAGCCAGCAGTGAAAAGTTTTTATTTTCAGGTTCATGTTATGGTCAAGTTAAAACAGCACTTAATACTGATGTGAAATGAATTTTTTTCAAAGAACTAAGCCTTAATGAATTCATGTATAGAAGGATGCCCTGCAGCTTCACTAAAATTCATACTCCCATTTGTGTCACTATTGTTTAAAGCAACCTAAGGTTTGAAGATAAAGGTAAAAACAGTATTTCTGTAAATTGCCAATAAAACCCTCTAAGCCTCTAGTTACAGACTTCAGAAAAAGTATGTAAAAAGTTGTGTTTAAGCTGGAGAGAAATAAAGAATTTCATTTACAACCAGAAAGATCTATTTTGATTTGGTTTAAGACATCCGTTTGCAAGGAAGAAAATATACACTGAATCTTATTCTTACTCATCTACGCTTTGCACTTGCATGGATCACTGAAGATGGGAATTTGTTCAATGGCTCCTAAAAACTGTATTGTTATGTTAAACTATACCATCAGACTGAGAAGTGTGCATCTTTGCAGAACAGAGTTAAATCTTCATGACCCAATGAAGTCACTATGTAAAAAAAAAATTTAAATTAAATGCATGTGAATGCGCATTTACTGATCCTTTTTATGTATTATTTAGTGAATATCAATGGTATGTGTTTAATAGTTCAGTTTTTGCTACCTACACATTAGCCAAAAGAGATGTAAATATTTTTGACTAGATAAGGAGGTACAGTGTAAAGTACTGGTATCTAGAGGTACTCCATTTCCGTGTGTTCAGCATAATACTAAAATGCAAGGTTTTGCCACACAGGTGATAAGGTGGTTTATTTGCTATATCAGTGCCAAAGTTATGTGCTTATTCTTTAAGCACATTCCTCACTGAGTAGTAAATAATTCTACTTCTGTATTTATCACTGCAATTCAGATGGGAACTAGAAAACTGGAGAGAAAAAAAAATGTAATGAAACTGCTGCTGTAAATTATTTCTTTTAGCATGTATTCAGTTGTTAAATAAACATTTCTTCCAAATATTTGAAGTTCACTGTCTTGACTGTTTACATGGAAATGTGTCCTATAACCTTCATGAGCATATGGAGTACATTGTTGCCAATATAATGCTATCAACGTACATGAGCTCTATTTACTAGGCCAGAAGGGTTGCTATTTTTATTAATGGTGTTGACTGTTTCCTTTTTAAGACTACAAACTAATAATGCCTGAAACGAAAGCTACAAACTCATCTTCAGCCTATCTTTTGGCACAACTGCATGGGCTTGTGCAGATAGAGGCACACATACACCCTACACACACACTCTGCTCCTGAACCAAACCCTGAATCTGCCACGCGAATGCTTGCAGCTCACTGTACTGGGTGAAACTCACTCTGTGCAATGCTAATGGCTTTGTACAGCAATGCTCCTTCCTTTTGGAAACTGGCTTGCACAGACAGCAAGCAGAATAAATCAGGTTCTGTCTGTTATCAACATACCCTTGTATCCTTGGGTAAACTTAGCAGCTGTTTGGAAGTGCCTAGGGGCTCTATTTAAAAGTAATATGCCACGGCACTAAGCATTGTGCAAACAGCTAATGAGACAAATGCAACCCTGGAAAGCATGAAGTTTAGATATACCAGATGAGAGATGGAGAAAAGAAAGTATCATTATATCTATTTGGCACATACAGAATTGAAGAAACGGCCAGTAGTACTTAATCATCACCAATCCATTCAGCTTTGCCCATGTTCCTTCCTGTAAAGCAAGGACAGAGATGTCCAGTTCAGAAGGATATTGTAAGCATATTTTATGGTTACTACTGTCTTCAGAAAATAAAAATAAGCCCTCAGCATCATCCAGGAAACTCAGTGGGATACAAAAAGCATCTTTTACAAGATACAATACAAGCTACAATACAAGAAGGACATAATGGATATGGCAAGCCATGAATCCACTAAATGAAAGACCAGAGTAATTTTTATTTTTTTTTTTTTTTTGTTTTAATCTGTCCAGTGCATGGATTACAAACACTTCACAAAGGAAAGTCCTTGTTTCTGGATGTAGCCAAGCTGTGTCCTTTGCTGGAACTCTGCAGAGCACAGCTAAACTGATTGTCCTCTGTTACTACTTTGCTGCATTGCCAGGAATGTACAGTGCCTAGGGACAACCTTCGTTGACACTGAGCAGGAAGAAAGAAGAAACATTTAGGGTTTAATGCTTACTTGTTCATGCATATATATGCACATATATATGTATATATATATACAGACATTTAAACAGCCAGCTTTCACTGAGATGAAATCCCCTTTTCCCTAAAGTATTTGAGGCTCTACATGTAATTCTAGTGCATCTCTGAAGAACGTTTGGCGGCCTCAGCTATAAATTGTTATAAATGTTTCCTTTGTGAAGATTGAAGCACACTATTCTGTTTCCTTACAGGTCACATTCACTGAGCTTCCCATCAAACATACATTTAATGGGAGGCAAAAGTTGTGATGGCTTTTTCCAAAGCCTGAAACAAAAGAACTATTCTCCCCAGAATGCTGAGTAACAGGATACAGGTAGATCAGAGTATTAGTGAATCAATCAGATTCTTTGCTCCCATAAATAGTAGTATGAAAGGTTGGAGGAGCTTCATAGAAAAACTGGAAACTTGTTTGGGACTTTTTTTTTATCCTGGAGTTTATCAAAGGTTGACATTTTGGAGAACTTCAGGATGATCTGAGCTAAATCCCATAGCTCTAGCAAAGCAATTTCCATACTGAAAAAGTTTCACTTAGGTTAAGAAAGAAAGATCCCCTTCTTTTATAGAATTTTTTCACCCCTTTAGGAAATGGGGCTCCTCTTGCCTCCGTATTATCCCAGAAAGGTCATTATATAGTTTTTACAGTCATTGTTGAAGGCTGACATCTTCTTCAACACACATGGGAGCCCCTGTTTCTGATGACCAGCCCTCCCTAAGCTGTTCTGTGTTCAGGCTCTCCAGTCAAACTAGCACGCCACATCTGTTAGTACTAGACCTAAAAATGTGTTCTCATCAACAGAGCTAAAATCAGGCCTTGATGAGCAGTAGAAAGCATGTCTTCATTACAGTTGAACTATGAGGTACAGCCCAAGATATCTGTCAGGGAATTGCAAAGGGTTGGGTGCAGTGAGGTCGCCCAGGGGTGGCAAGGCATGAGCTGACAGCCAGGGACCATCCTCCCCAGCCAGGAGCAGAGCACGCTGGGGGCAGATGGGGCAGCCCCACCCA